CGGGCGGCGCGAGGTAATGTAGATGACCAAAATGAAAGACAAGTCAGATAGAATGACGAACAATTCAACCAAAAGGAGAGACCATTGCAAACGGGCGGCGCGAGGTAATGTAGATGACCAAAATGAAAGACAAGTCAGATAGAATGACCAACAGTTCAACCAAAAGGAGCAGCCGTCAGTGATTTTCTACCTTATATGGAAAAAAAAGAATACACGAGTCTCGTACGTCATAGTGGCCAAAAAACATCAGCTTTGGCGTTGAAACGGAAGTAAGAACGAGTCTAAAAACGAGGGGCCGGCCCTGCCGTCTGGAACCTTGCTTGGTCAAGGCTTGTGATTTAAAATGTCGGCACACATTCGGTGAATATAGTCGGCAAACTCGGCACCCTGCGTCGTGTTACAAAAGTCCTAACTAGTCCAGTGGGCCACAGAATTAAGGGGAAAAGACTTATTAACACATTGACTTCGAGATATTGGGAGACAAACGGGTCGCTGATGGCCTTGGTTTGTCTGCACTGGGCGGACTTGGAAATGTGCCCGCTGCCACCAAATTACTGCATGTAGGTTTTTAAGCTTTGCGGCGGAAGTCAAAAATGAACAGAAGGAACAAGCAAGGAGGTCTGTTAAGAAACTAGGCTTAGGTCAAACTTGAACAGGGAGGCACGCGAGGACATTATAGTGGGAATTGACGCGGCACGGTGCAAGCGCAGAGGGATCCAGTATGTGGGAAATTTTTGAAACTTGGTTCAATTTTCGGCCAGACACCCTAAGTGTATGGATCTATTTGTTCTTGGCAGGGGGAGCGTTTTATGGGCGAGAAGCCCTACAGTATTTGGATCTATTTGTTCCTGGCGAGAAGAGCGTTATATGGGTGAGATGCCCAACAGTGTTTGGATATATTTATTAGGACACACGGGACAAGAAAAGCACATGGGTTGTGTTTGTCTTTGGCAGAATTCGGTGATTTAATTGTCAGGGAGGGGGACCTTACTAAAGCAAGGTTATAAATTTTTAGGACTCGTAACATGGACGCAGTCCGCGTCCCCCTCTCACCGGTGAAACCTCCCACCTTCCTCACTTCAGTAAGTCATCTTCAAGCTAGCTATTTCACCCTTTTCTTATTCACGTCAATTCGTTTAGTTGCCAGCGTGATCATGCGGCACTCCGAGTCCGTCTGTGTGTTCTTTTCAGCAGCAGATAGTATGTCTGACGGCGGAACCGCGGATATCTGCTTTTCAGGCTCGCGTTTAAATATGGAAGCGGACACGGCGAAGATGTACATTCTTGTTCGTGGCTCGGCCGCCCGCCCAGGCGATGGCTCGGTGGCCCACGACCATGCTGGCAGATTGACTCGGACTTCGTCCTTGCCACGAAGAAGGTCCATCTTACCGTCGGAGACACCACACCACGAAGAAAAATTGTGGGCTCGATCCCGCAGTCCTCGCGTTAGAGGATCCGCTGAGGAAGAGCCTGCGTACCGGCCCTGAATTGGCATGATTGGCGTCACGGTCCAAGAATATCTCCGGCTTCGTGTATATATCCAGCGCGTACGCGAATTCATTTCTCGCAAACGGTGTCGTGAAGGAGAAGATTTACGAGGTGGTCGACGCCGAGAGGTAGCTTTCGGAGATTTCAGAGGCAGGAGGGTCCGACAGAACAGAGCGAGAATTATTATCGCCGAAGGGATATCCTCAGAATCGCCGACTCTGCAGCTCCAAACTCTAACGGAATCCTCAAGTCGTCGATGGCCATGGACGCTTCACGTTCCAAAAACTCGCTAATAAAATTAATGCTCTCCTTGTCTTTCCGAGCCTCGGAATTCATACCCACCAAATCCGAGGGAGTTTGAACCAGGTGCAAAGCACGCCCAGAGCACGGACGTCGGACTCCCAGTCGTGATAAAGTAATAAAAAAAGATTGAAAAAAGACTTAGGTTCCTTCCGCGTTAGCACCGCCACCTCCTAGCCTAACTTACTACCCACCTATGTATCAAAAAAACATCCGATTCGGCTCTCGGGACGATCTTGGACGTTGGACGTCGCAGAACCTCCCAGTCCCGCCTCCCAGTCCTGCAATCTCTAGAGATCTAGACCAATATATTCAGCGACGTGGGGTGCCCAATAAGTAAAGTAGAAAATAAAATAACATAATACACGCCTCCTTGCTCCTTCTCCGCTCGATCCGAGTCATTAATCCTACAAGCCCACATTCGATATCGATTCGACCTGCGATAACATTACATACAGTAGCATAGATAGCGGGGGATCCCCCCGGCCAGGAAGCGCGAAACGGGAAGGCACGGAGAGGAGGGCCTCAGCCGCCCTTGGCCCCGAGCGGCACGCTCGCCACCACGTTGTACGTCTTGGCGTGGCGCGTCATCGGCGGGGGGATGCGGTCCCTTTACATGATTAAAATGTCAGCGTCAGTCAGCGTCGACAATAAGGGACCAAAGGAAGGAGGGAGGGGAGGGGACGGGGAGAGACGGAGCGAGGCGGAGGCAGGGAGGGCGTGGGGGAGTGTGAGGGGAGGGGGCAGGGAATGCGGTCGGCGCCGACATCGACAACAGAGCGAGGGACGGGGGAGGGGAGGGGAGGGGAGGGGAGGAGGGGTGGCAGCGCGGAAGAGTAGGGGAGGCACAGGACGATGCGGTAGAGCGATACCGACAGCAAGAAAGCGAGGCGGGAAGGGGAGGGGAGGAGGGAGGGAGGGAGGAAGTGATAGCAGCGGAAGGGGAGAGAGGGAAGGAACGGAGAGCGGTAGGCGGGCAGCAAGCGAGGACGAGCGCAGCCGGCAGTCGCGGTAGGGAGCAAGAGCGCGATAAAGGAGCGAGTAGGAGAAGGAGGGAGTGATAGCAGCGGAAGGGAGCAAGCAGGAAAGCGAGGACGAGCACGAGCAGCCCCACTCGCTCAGCCGGCGGTCGCGGTAGGGAGCAAGAGAGCGACGGGGACGCGAGGGAGGAAGGGAAGGAAGGAGCAGGGGAAGGGAACGAGGGGAGTGAGGGAGTCGGGAAGGAGGGTGGTGGAGCACGGGAGGCAGGGAGCGATACCGATACCGAGAGCAAGGAACGACAGGGAGGCGTAGGGAGGCGGTGGCCGGTGCGGTAGGAAGGGAGAACACGGGAATGAAGAAAGGGACGAGCGAAGCGAGGAAGACTTGGAGAGAGAAGACAACACGCACCCCTCCGAATCAAAATGCGTCCCGCGCTTCGGGTCCGCGCGCCGCTTCTCGACCGCCTTCTTCACCTTGCGCTCCGGCCGCACCACGATGATCGGCACCGGCGAGTGCGTCAGGCAGTATCTGTGCGGTGTCGTTAGTCTCACCGGCGCGAAGAGGATAGGGAGGGATGGGGAGGAGGAGGGAGGGAGGGAATAGGGAGGAAGAAGAGAGGAGAGGGAGGGGCGGGGAGGAAGAGGGCAAGGGCACGGAGGATAGAACGCCTGCGGCGCCCGAAGCACTCGCTCGACGTCCCGCCTACGGTTCCTCTCTCCGCTCGCGGGAAGGAACTGCCTACGACGCCCGAGCGGAAGACTCGCGCGCGCGAGAGAGCTCGCTGGCGCTCGCGGGAAGGGATTCCCTGCGGGGCCCGAGTATAGAATACCTGCGGCGCCCGAAAGGGTCGACTCGCGCGTGCGCGAGAGAGCTCGCTGATGCTCGCGGGAAGGGATTCCCTGCGGGGCCCGAAGGCCCGCTCGCAGGGCCCTTCGGGCCCTGCTCACACTGCTCACACGGTCCACGCACTCACTTGCTAACACTCCCAATCCCGCCCTTGCCCATCATGCTCATGGCCTGCCAGGCCTTCTTGCCGCGTGTGCCGACGACGACGCTGTCGGGGCGGTAGAGGGCGATGAGGCGGTCGAGCGTGTTGGTGATGCGGCCCGGGATGTACTCGAGGATGAGCGAGAGCTGCGCGTGTCCGTCAGCGTCGATGGCAAGGGATGAGAAGGGAGAGAGGGAGAGGAGGGAGAGGCGGACCTTGCGTTCCGGATCATACTCGACGCTCTTCTCTTGCATCTGCAGCATGAGCTGCCGCGCCTCCTCCCGCACCGAGTTGTGGTCCTTCTCTACACCCGTGAAGTTAGACGATGCGCAGATCGCAGGTCGGGGACACACCAAACGCATCCTCGTCGACGCCGCGGCACACGATGAGCTCGTCGCCGTCCTGGACGAGCGCCTCGAGCGACCAGTCGAGCGCCTCCCGCCCGCTCTCGTCGGGCCCCGCGGCGCACAGGAAGACACGCGTGCTGCGCGTGCGCGCGTACCCGGCGCTCTTGACCTGCAGCGTGAACGAGAACATGGACGCCGCGGGATTCTCGAACGTGTCGAACGAGACCTTGGGCGTGTACCCCGGGGCGGTGGGCGAGAAGATGTGCGACAGGTGCGGCGAGGGCGAGGGGAGCGGCGGGGACGATGCGAGGACGGGGGAGACGAGGGAGGTCGGCGACGCGGAGCGGCTCGTGAGCGGTGGGCTCGAGGTGTGCTTCAGCGCTGAGCGCAGGGTTCCCGAGTCGCGGTGCATGTTGGAGTAGACGGGCGGACTGTGCATGGGCTCGGAGGACATGATGGGCGGGAGATCTAGACGATCGGCGCAAGGCCTAGGCGTTTCAATCTTCGGGCGGAGATCCAATTCATTTCTTGCCTCGAAACTTTTAGCTCTGTGCGGTCTAGGGCCCGTCTGGATTGTCTGCTTGCTCTTTGGTCGACATCTGACCTGAGACTTACCTGGTTTCAAGTTATCGGCTGCCATTGACACACATTCAAGTTGTCATTTTGCCAAGACCGTCCTTCCACTCAACCTCCACTAAGCGAGCGAGACTACAGCGTATCTGCATTCCGAGGTCTTCTCCAGGGGAACTACCCAACGAGTTTGCGCAAGCAGTCTTAGACTTTCAAGCCCCATGTCACGTCCATTTTTTCGTAAAGAATGCAATCTTTCTGGCGAGTCGTCTTCAGTGTGCATGATTCCTCGGTAACTTAGCACTAGAAAGGGTGCGGAGGAGAAAGACCTGATGGCACAATGGTTAGTGCATCTGTTGCATTTACCTCAAGTGGGCATTTTTTCGGCAGAAGGTCCCCGTTCGACTCGGGGTCAGGTCATTATGTCTTCATCGGGTACCTTTTTTATTTTACTTATCCTGCGCAGAGTCGAACCGAGGTGGAAGCACTCCCGGCGGGTTCCAAGCTTTCCCAGATCACCGACGGTGTCTCATATTATAGCCAGCGGTCTTTTGACCATTTATGCTTCGCGCTTGCCAGTCCTTCTTGAAAGCGAGAGATCTGGGTCCGACTCAGCATCCGCCTCTGCGTTCTTTTTCTTGGTTCCCTATCAGCTCAAAATCCAAGCAGTCTGTTCAACTTGCCCGCTGTGTCATCCATCTTTCGTTAAAAAAAATTCAATCTTTCGGTGAGTCGTCTGCAGTCTGGCTCCTCGGTACGTACCTTACTTGAAGACAGGGCATGAGGAGGAAGGACCTGGTAGCACAACGGTTAGTGCGTCTACTGTAGCTACCGGCTTGTAGAAGACGTTTCGGCAGAGGGTCCCCGTTCGACTCGGGGTCAGGTCGTACGTCAATGTCAATGTCAATATTGATGTCTTTTTATTTTATTTTACTCTGCGCCGAGTCGAACCGATGCGAGCCACTCGCCATCTTTCAGGTCACACATACCGGCGCCCGGGCTGTCGGGATCCACCCCTCCCGTCTTTCGTCCTTTTCCCAGAATATCCCATCTGACATCTATATGCAAGACCGACCACACCCCGAAAAATCTCGCAGGTGCAGAAGGAGGATGGACGCTCGGACGTAGTGCACGGCGCACACCCGCGCTCCTTAGAGGTACAATGACAATGTGTGTAGGCGGGAGCTCTGGGTTCGATTCCCAGCGTCTGAATATTCGGTTGCATCTTCGTATTTTTTTTAGCCTTCACCTCCCACTAATCCTCTGCGCGGACTCGTTTCCCATCCTCTGCACGATGTACATGTTGCAACATTTATTTGACGCCCATCTGGCATCTATATGCCAGCCCACACGCTGAAAATACGGCGCATTTAGCGAGGTGCAGAAGGAGGATGGAAACTCGGACGTTGTGCACGGTGCACACCCGCGCTCCCTCGTGTACAATGTGTGTAGGCGGGAAGCCTGGGTTCGATTCCCAGCGTCCGAATATTCATGTACATCTTCGTATTTTTTTTAGCCTTCACCTCCCACTAATCCTCTGCGCGGACTCGTTTCCCATCCTCCGTACGGTCTAAAGCTTAAATCAATGCTATACCATTTATTTGACCCCCATCCGGCATGCTTGAAGATGATGCTCAAATTCTTTTTTGGGGGGCTCTTCTATTCACAGTTCAAGGTCCTTGTGGTTCAAAATTTCAACAATCGGCGAGCAGCGTGCTCTAAAAATGCCGCACGTAGAAAGTATTTAGATCCAAGCTCCCTCGACGCGCTTGTAAGACATCCTGAGTCTTACAAGTTATCACGCCGTTTTGTCGTGGAGGTTCGCTTCAGCCTCCAAGTTGGATCGCAGCGACTTCATCTGTAAGCAGGGAGTTTCGGCCGACGCTTCGGTTCGCAACTTCAACAACCTGGCCGTTTTATGAACGCGCGCATGCCGGCGCAGGGCCTAGGTCAAGCATAGGTGCTTCAATGTTCAATCTTCGGGCAGAGACCCAATTCAATTCTTGGCTAAGAGTCTGGACTCGGAGCCTATGTGGGTGGTTTTTTCAGTGGTTGATTATGGCTAATTGAACTACAGCCTAAGAGGCGCTACCATGTTGGACATGATGCTGGTTATGTGGGCACTTGTCCCTGGCAAACCAATTCGCGAATGAGTTTGATGTCCGGAGTTTAGATTTAGTGCAATTTCATACACTTTACTAGACGGGAGAACGAGGGCGAAAAACATAAAGAGCTCACCGGTCCGGAGTTGAGATTTAGTGCAATATTAGGATTTTCTTTACACTTTAGTAGACGGGAGAATGCGGGCGAGTAACCGTAAAAAGCTCACTTCTTCAAAAAGTGAATTCCGTTCGGTCAGGTTCGGTCCTCCGAGCTTCGCCGATCAAAGTTGCCCTTTGGGCATACCACCACCATGGCAACTCGGATGTCGCCATACCTAGCGGTGTCCCTAGTAATCTGAAGCACGACGGTGACACAGAGGCTGTGCGGCGGGCGGGTATAAAATGCGCACCTCTCATGCAACGGCGCCAGCGAACTTCAACCCGACAATTTACGACCCTTGACGACCTTTCACGACCTGCCCTTCAAACACGCATAACGGGCTACCCATATTCGTCACGTACTACCAGTTGCAAACTTGACTATTCCCTCCACGCCCCCTTCGAAGACAAAATGCATCACCGCAACGACCTGTTACTGCCACCAACCCTCGACGTCCCCAGTTCGTCAAGCCCCTCAAGTTCTACAATGACCCCGAGCACCTCGCTGAACTCCTCAATATCATCTGCACTTCTTCGGGCGCGCTGCGGTTTCAACCTGACCATCCAAACAACTCTGGATCCGAACCCGAACCGCCCCGTAACCATCGAAGCGAAGGGACACCTCGAACCGCATATTTCAAATCTTCCACGCAGACGACGGAGAGGCGATGGGAATCATGAAGCCATCCATACTGTAGCGGGGAAAGAATAGATTTTTCAACGGTGTACAAGTCGTATAAATGTTAATTTGTGGTTCTTTTACCGGAATGGACCGGAAAAGAAACGAAATACATCTGATAAATATTCTCGAACACCTCGGGCGTTATCAAAAGCCCTCGTCGTCGTAACAGAGCGTATTCTGGGCGAATTCCCATGAAATCCTTTTTTGGCCGCAAGCGTTGCTTGTTTGTGCGTACTTGGATTTGATGGTCACAACAGCGTCACTCACTTGTTCAAAACTTCCACGCTGACCTGGCACACTCCACCGACCTGCGTCGTCTTCGCCTGCGGGACGTACCAGAATTAATGAAGCCCGACGCTGCGCATTATTCACCGTCCCCGCGCTAACCTTACGGCGCATCATGCGCATGCGACCAAAGGCCCAAAAAAAATTGTCCACTCTGGCCGGGAAGATGCGGCCGCATGCGACTCCTCCAGGACAGATAATTAAAAGCGCGGGGAAGTTCAGTCGAGCTGCGCGTCCATGTGCTCCCCATTCAGTGCTGATTAATCGCACTTCGCGTCGACTCACTTCGAACGGCGTCCGACATCCGGAAGAGACCACCTTGCTATGGCAGTCTGGGAGTGCTATGGATTACTACCGTAGCGCTGCATAGCACCGTAGCAAGGTGGTTTTCTGCCTGATGGACGGCATCGGTGTTCCTGGGAGGGACATCATTTACGCGGGCGTCGTAAGCAAGCGACTTATATCGAGCGCGCTCTGCATCAGCCGTGCGTTTCAGTCAGCGCTGAAAAGGTTTTTGATGAACTCAGGTGGTACGTATGCGGGTATGCTTCGGGTTCTAGCCATATGGAGCCCACGGCAACTTCGGGTGCGTCGTTCAGGCTTACTCCGCACCCTGAGGCGGACGGTTACGCACCGAGCACTGCCCAAGCGCATGCCGCGCGACGTAGGTTCTAGGTTCAATCTGGGCTCGTCTCGAATCCGAGGTTTGCCCGATCACGCGTTCCGGATGCGTGCGGTTTACCGTCAAGTTGAGACGGTCAAGCAAACTCTGCAAGGGAGCAGCTGATTCCTGATTCTAGCCACATTGATCATTCATGACCCGTTTTCGTATTGACAGGATCCACAGCTGTTCGGTTGCTCACGTTTTTTTCTAGGTGCTCTGGCTTCTTCGCTTCATCGCCTCGCAAAATGCTGGAACCCACCTCACTCAATTGTCCAAGCTGTTTTTTTCCCATGTTGGTGGTATTCTTAGCCTGCGCTTCCACAGCATCGGCGCGTCCAAGGTACATCACTTCCCAGTCGACTCATCACCAGTCTGCCTACAAATGGCAACAATGTGGCGAGCACGTTGCCGTAGACAGACTGGTACAATTCGGAAGTGTCAATCAACGTGCCTGAGTTTAAAATTCTAGAGGGGTGCCAAAGACTTGCCGATTACCGGTTCCCGGTCCCGTGTGGCACTGGACAGCATTCAATCTACTGAACCCCGTTCAGATCAGTTTCGGGCGATTGAGTACGACAAATTGGTCCAGAGTGCGCTCGAGCGGATGCCCGATCTTCACATCACAAACCTCTGGACCCCTGCTCATATTGGCACCATTGGGAACAAGCTGGCAGATTCCGCGGCCAAGGCAGCGACACTCCTCGAACCATCGCCTTCCATCCTGGTCTCACTGACTACCTGCAAGCACCGGATCAATGAACATATTCTGCAGCACTGGGGGGTGTTGTGGGATGCATCGAAAACTGGTCACGGCCTTCGTCAAATCGACGCCTCACCTCCCTCCCTCATTTTACATTCTCCCTACAACTCCGACATTCCCCGTGCTGCCACCTCCATCATATCTCAGCTCTGGACCGACTTCTCGTCTCTTAACGTGCGGAGATTTAGCCTCAAGCAGATAGACTCCCCACGCTGTCTAGCCTGTGACGGCTCTTCCGAGACTAGAGCTCACTTCCTGCTTCACTGTCCTGCTTGGGATCGATTTCATCCCCCCTCTCCAGCTCGCCCCATACTCAGCGGGGATCCTTGGAGCCATCAATGTTTGATCCCTCTTGTCGCACCCCAAACTGCTCAAGCCACTTGTTTCCTTCATCGCTGCCACCAATCGTTTCCGTTCTCCGCCTTCCAGTTGAAGTTTGTCTATTTATTTCTCTCATTCTCTTTCTTTATTTCCACCTCCCCTCTTACTATACTTATTGAATAATCTCTTACACCATACACATAAACCACCAGCTCCACCTCTCAACCACATCCTCCCATAAACATGGTTTCCCCGCATAGTATACATCTTTTCATCTATTGTTATCCCTCTCCTCTCATTCTCCCGCATTAGAAAATTGTTCGCAAACCCCAGACTGTGTACTACTTATCACCCCCTCTACTTATTTGTTGGTACTGCCGCATGACTCTAGTAGTTAGGTACGGTAACCCCAGAAATCAAATCAAGGTCCCTCGGACCAGAAAGTCACTTTCTCAATTAAACTCGGGGTGATGCTAGGGCACCCTGGGGCCATAAAATAAAATTCTGAGGAGACAAAAAGCAAGCAATTGCTATGAGATCCAACTCCTCAGCTTTGACCAAAATGAAATATGAAGATTTGAGCCCAGAGCGTGGCACACAAACAAATTTAAACTCTGCGCCCGCTCCAATCAACTTTTCCGAATTGTACCAGTCTGCTAGTCTCTCGACAGACACTTCAACATGAAGCTCATGCCTCACTTGTTGAAGTCTGTTGGTTATCAGGGGGGTCCGATCGGACTTCCAGCTTATTACCAATCTTTTGGCGGGTGACTACCAATCTTTTGTCAATCTGACTCAATCATTTGGCAAATGCTCGTAAACTGACCATCAAATTTGTTGAATAGCGAAACACCCAGGCCAACTTGCAAAATTCTGAAGAGACAGAACTCTTGACAGCAGGGTAAAGTATCAGTTTGCATCGTTGCCCGTCGCAAATACTTGATTCCCAGTGCTACAAAGATGATTGGTAATAAGCGGTTACCCCGATCTGACCCCCTTTGTAACAACAGGAGTACCAGTCTGCCTACGGCAACGTGCTCGCCATATTGTTGCCATTCATAGGCAGACTGGTAGTCTAACTTCCCAGTGCACTTCCCACTCGGCCACTCAGATCTTTCCGCATAATTCCCTCTCTTATCATTACGCAATGTGTCAAACTTCAGAGCGGCTCCGCAAAGAGCATCGTTCAATCCTGTTCAATCCCGTCAATCGCAATGGTAGGGATCGAATCGAAGGGCC